ATGATGATGATGATGATGATGATGATGATGATGATGATGATGATGATTGTGATTGAGATGGATGAGCGGGCAACACCCGATATCCAAAAATCCAAAGACGCACATCAGAATAATCGAAATGTGGGATTTGGTTGTGCAAAGTCCCATGTGCTAACTGATTGGCCACCACAGATTGAAGGACACTATACGTTCAGCCAAAGTGCTCCTTGAAGCGAATAGTGTCACCACCACTCGAGTGCAGAGACTTTGACTTGAATATTGTTGCCAATTGGCATTGCTGGCATTGTGCCTTTGGTCCTCTTGAAGGGTCCTACGTGCTTGCATCGATTGCGTGCAGTTTGCAGCTGGAGCTGAAAGTGGAGTTTTGGAAAGACAAGTTGAAGGCCGCGGCGATATTGCTGACTGATGTTTGTGGTTTCACCTGGAGTCGCGATCAGTATGGCTGTGGTTCTGATGAACAAGTTGTCTGAGGACTGACATGAAGGCCTCTTTCTTTGGGGGGAAGAATTGGTAGGATTGCATCTCCGGGGGGCGCAGAGCTTTGACTCTTGCGCTAGCTGCAGGCGGCGCCGGAGGACACTGTCAAAGACCTCTGGCAGCAGGCCACAAGCATCCTGGCGGAAAGGCCTTAGCTAAGGGGCTCTGGAGGAACGTTCGAAACACTTCTTCCATTTTTGACAACGATGTTGATGATGTTTACATTGCAGGCAAGAGGGCACACAACAGGACACAGCATGAAGGAGTATGAGTTTACAGAGTGGTACATTAGATATGGTGGTTTGCCACCAAATGCTTGGCAGAAAGATACAAGAGGCAGCTTCAGCTCCACATTTTTATGTTTCGTAGTGACAGTGGCCATCATGTGGAACATCATGTGGAACCAACATGGTCAGGAGATGCCAGGAGCTGCGAGAGTGTTGAGTTGACGCCTACGTGTACCTTTCGTAGATTTTTCAAATTTTTTGAGAGCCCACCCGAAAGCATGTAGCGTCCTTGTTCCTAGTAGCGATGCCCTTTGTTACTAGTAGCTTCTTGTTACTAGTAGTAAGGCCAGGAGCCCCAAGTAGCGTCCTTGCTCCTAGTAGCGATGCCCCTTGCTCCTAGTAGTGTCTTTTGCTTTCAGTCCTTTTCTATACATTTTGAGGCAAATACTGGCACGAAGCTCACGAGAATGGGATTGCCTGGGCCCAATCAAGCAGTGTACGTGCAAGCGAAGGGAAGGCACGTGTTTCGAAGCATTATCCCCGGGTACTACCGAACTGGTGAAGTGGTTGGAAGAACCGAACTCGTGATGTGGGTAGCTGAGCACAACTTTGGTGCTGACATAATTTCTAGCCTTCTATATAGCTCCATTTTCAGATTGCCATTTTGTGCAAAGAGTCGATGTCCAGACTCAAAAAATAGAGACAGGCTTGGTTCCCTCAAAACGCTCTCAGGATGTCTTTATTGCGGGTGCAGCTTACACTCAGGATCGGGCAGCATGGGCATGGCAGTTTCATGCCCTTTTCCTTGCTGACTATACACATTTCTTTCAATGATTTAGCAAATGTTTTGGGCTCCTCATTTTGCTTCCATGCCCCGGAGGATCACATCAATGCAAGACCCTTTAAGAAGAGCGAGGCAGAGCGATTGTCAGGAGGCCGCAGCGGGACATGGTCACACGTGATTGGACAATGGTGTTCGTCTCATATCCCTAAGACAAGAGTGAATTTGACACCTAATGCTTCTCAACACTTCCAAGATGCTTTTCATCGTTTGTTGTTGCTTGATCCAACAAGCCTGGGTTTAGGTCTGAAAGGGGCTGCGTCAAGTTTGCATTTCATACACTCGAAAGACATTGGCTTGACTGGTCAATTTTTGATCATCATTCACCGCAATTGCACAGGTCTGAGCAAGTGTGTGACAGCGCCGGATTTCGCCATTGCTCAGAATGATGATGGCAAGGCCTTTCAATTGGATTCAGTCAGCAGATGCTATTAGGTTGGAGGCCATCGCTGTTAGGTTGGAGGCCATCAATAGTAGGCTGATGAGGCATGAGGTTGATGGAGTTATATTATAGTCTTGCGAGGTGGCTTTCTGGCAGGAAGGTGACGTGATGGGCATGCGAGCTGCCACTTAGCTACTATGTGGCATCATCCACAGTTCCAGACCGGATTGCGTTAGAAGAAGATGGAAGAAGATTTGTTTCTACTAGCTTCTTGTTACTATTAGTAAGGCACTTGTTACTAGTAGCGATGCACTTGTTCCTAGTAGCTTCTTGTTTCTACTAGCTATAATTGTTTTGCATTCTAGCTCCTGACCGTTTCTGAACTCATGCCGGCCGTGCAACTCTATATACATCCTGTAGAGAAGCATGCAACTGCCTGCTGAGGTGATTACCATATTCAGTGTGAATGAGCCCTGGCGAAGTTCAGCGGAATTCCTCTTGTGGAGCCAATCATCATTCAGTTTCCATCACTTGAGCAGTCCAAATCGCCACCAGAGTCCCGGCACTTGACCTCGGACCGCAGTTTAGGACAAGTTTGTGCAGTCAAATCTGCCATCTGTCCGGGATAAGATGCTTCCGAAGCTTATGCAGGAGCGTGAGTCAAAGAGGGATCACTGAAGACTGATCCTAGTGAAAAAGAGTGATCCATCTTCTTGGATGCTACCTATCCTCCAAGACCCACTGTGAAACAAACTGCCTTGTGCCCTGGCCATCCACACCTGTTGACTTTCCATGACCGTACCGGCCCAAACTTAGTGGCCACTTGAGTCTGCCTTGGAAAAGGCTTTCCTTGCCGTGCGCCATAGGCACTGCATTTCCGCTGTTCATCAGTGGTAGCGGAGCCCGGGTGACGACCTGGGC